TTTTGAGAGAGATAGGCCTTTAATTTGGTAGAAAATTTGGATTTTTTTGGATAATGGATATTTTTTTCTTTGTTCTTGTATTTGGCGTTAAACAGTAAAAAATTAGGAAAAAAAAAAATTCCTGCACCCAATACAACATTCACATAATTTGCACACCCCCATTTACAGTATCTATTGCAAAAAATAATCAACAAATCAGCCGAATAAATTATCACATAATCCGGAGTTTTATGTTATGCAGAGGAATGATAAAAAGCTCAAAGTGAACGTATGCGTTTGATGCCACACTGTAAGGCACACGGGGAGGGAAAAAAAAAAAAAAAAACAGTTTGTGTACATTGCTAGAGTAAGATTAAAGTGTTACTAAACCCACAACAGTAAAATCAGTCTTTTTATGCAGTAAAGCATGCTTGATACACTCACTGTGGAACCTAAGGGGCTAATCCTCTGCATTGTGTAAAAATGTTGTTTGATCCCGACTTCTCTAATCTTCCCCTTCTTTCAGTATCCCCCTCTTATCTCCTGATAAGATGTATCATGTGGAGACATGCTGCACATGTTCAGTTTGGTGTGCACTGCTAGAGAGGTTTTGTTTTTTTTTTTTTTCCTTGGGAGGGTGCATGTGATCAGCACAGGGCCAATCAGCGCTGTCCAGACAGGCCAGTGGCCCTGCATCTTCCTAGTGCAAAATGAAAATGCCTCCTACAAGCTTTAACATATGCTCTGCTGAAACCTGATAGAAGTCACAAGACTGCTCTAACTGCTGATGAGAAAAGGTATTTAACAGTTTGTATTTACTACACATATAGAGCTTTCTTTCTGTGGTAATTGCATTTCCATGTTCCGTGTACTGTGGCAGACCAGACAGTGAATGCAGGGTCCTGGATTTGGCAACACTTTAAGTCGGGTTGACGAGACACAAATTAGCACGATAACTTTTTCACAGGTTTGTGATCTCCAAAAATTTGAGCGAGATGATCACGTATGTGAGCATCTACCACTTGCGCAGTAAAGGCAAATATCATCCACATCATCTGACATCTTTGTTGTGACCTGGAGAAGCATTATGTTTCGTGTTGTGCTACAAAGTGCTGGGTAGCAAAACTGGAAACCCAGAGGTTTATTATTTCAGCTCCAGTGCCTAGCACTGGGTCCTGGCTGTCACTGACAGCCAGCAGTTCCAGCATTAGTGCTGACAAGCACCCATAGAAGTCCCTAAATACAGGTGCCAATTTAAAATTGCGCTGGGACAAATAGCCGCTTGTACCTTTACCATTTTAAAATGGCACCAAGGACTCAAGTGGATAAGCTTGCTATATTCTCCATTTACTTAAGTATGTAAAAATTTACGGTATCCTTTTACATGACAATATAATAGAAAATAAGTGAACAGCTTAGTACAGAATATTAAACAGATAAATAAATAGCCTAAAAAAAACAACGCAATTACAAGAGCAGATTCAAGAACAACATAATTGAAAAACATACATCATGATTTTATACAAGTGTGTTGTTTGGTATTATCCTTTGAACTGGAGATTGTAGTTTTGTAGTAATTGGATTTATTAAATACAATTTGATTACTGTGCTTCAATGGCTAATTGAGCATAGATTAAATGTTCTTCTATAATTGAGCTTATTCAGCCAATGCTAATCATTTTGTGGAAACCAAACTGCAAAAGCTCAATGCAATGTATTTTTACAGCAATTACAGCAAGTATTTACATAATTTATTTTAAAACATAAATACTCATCATCCCTATAAAACAAAGAATGACAATATAACACAATTTACAGTACGTTAACCACTTTAAGACTGGCATGTTAAACCCTTCTCCTTTTCTTATGGTACACTAACTGACTGTCTGACTCCACCAATGCCCCTAACAGTGATCAGTGATAATACTATTCACTGTACTAATGACACTGGCTGGGAAGGGGTTACCATTTAGGGCCCGATCAAACCCTAGGATTAACTGTGAGAACCTAACAATGTGCAATGTGTGCTGATTTTATAAAAGTAAATATCTGTTGTTTAACCTTCTTCCTGCTTTGTGCGCGTGTCCTGAACCTGGAAGCCACTGCTGATATACAGGTAAAAATTGTGATTGTGCCTGATGTACACCCATCTGCAGTAAAATGCGGGAAGGTTGTTGGCAAGTGGGGTCTAACCACTTGCCTGGGGGTAGAGGATTTACCCCCCTTTCTGGCCAGGCCATTTTTGAGCTACGGAGGGGGGTGCGCGTTACTTTGACAATTGTGCGGTCATGCAACACTGCACCCAAATGAAATTTACGTTCTTTTTTTCCCACATATAGAGCTTTCTTTCTGTGGTATTTGATTGTCTGTACAGTTTAATTTTTTTGCGCTATAAAAAGAAAAAAAAAACAGACCAACAATTTTGAAAAAAAAAATCAATATTTTTGACTTTTTGCTGTTAAACATGTCCAGTTAAAAAAGCAAATTTCCTCATAAAGTTAGGTCAATATGTATTCTGTTACATGTATTTGCTAAAAAAAATCCACTACATGTAAATTAATTGGTTTACAGTAAAGTTATAGCGTTTACAAATGACAGTATATATACTGGGCTTTTTAAAACATTTTTTACTAGTAATGGCGTCAATCAGCGACTTCTAGTGAGACTGCGGCGGGTATTCTGACACTGGGGGGAATAAACTTGGTGTCACTACAGTGATCAGTGCTAATAAAAAGCAATGACACTGTACTAATGACACTGGGCATATTTTTTGACTTTTGCTGAGGGGTTAAAAAATCGTGGGGTAATCAAAGGGTTACTGTATTTGCTCTGTGTCGTTTTACATTATGTGCTGGTTTGTGCTTCACTGTAAGCACAGTACTGCTTTGCATGGCTGTGATGTGTGCATAGCCATCAAAGCAGTGTGCACGAGCTGACAGGGAGGAGAACTGTTTTGTTTACTAACAGTTCTCCTCCCCATCAGGGATCCTCGGCAATCACCGGCCGGGACCCAGTCATTAACAGCCCCTACCCGGAATTGCGAAGTCACGTATGTATAGGTGATTTTGCGCACAGCTGCTGTCCTGTAGCAGTATTTCAGCTATGAGGCAGAGCTGAAGCAGTTAATATACTAACCTCTTAAAGTCACAAGAAGAATTAAAGGGGTTTGATAACGTTAATCTACCAGTTTAGTACTACAAACAAAGACAAAGGCAGAGGTGAGAATCACACAACTTCATGAATCTAAATCTCATCGCTCTGCATCTACGAGACACTCCTCCAGATCTACCAAGTCTGTACAATCAAGATCTCAGCCAACAACTTATTAAAGCCCATGTAGATCATGAAGATTCTAAAATTCAAACAGCCTTTGCCCAAAAAAAAAAAAAAAAGCACAGATGGAAACACAAGCCACAGAAACTGAACACAAGGAAGCACAGATGAAAGCAGAGATGGAAGTTGAAACTGCACACAGGAAAGCAGAGATGGAAGCAAAAGCCTACGAAGGAGAGAAAGTCGAGATGGAGGTATAAACTGCACACAAGAAAGCAAAGGTGAAAGCAGAAAGGGCATGCAAAACAACAGAGATGGAATCTTTGGAGAAACAGTGTGAGCACACCACAGCCATGGCAAGGTTAAAGGTTTTAGAGCAAGTTGCTGGCAAAAGTGAACAATGTAACAGCAGCAGCCACTCGGTTGCATCGTACACTCTCCCAAAACTTCAGCTCCCAGGCACAGCAGCTGCATCCTTCAACCAAGGTCAGAACACTTTGTCTACCACCTCTCAAGACACCTTGCCTACTCATTCCTCAGTACACCAGGCATCCGCACCGCAGCAAACTGTAGACACCAGTATGCAGATAATGGACAATACATCTTACCATGAGGCTAGTCAACTACCACCTACCAAGTACACTGCTACACTTAAAGGGTTGTCATCTCATCACTTTAAAAGCGAACACATATTAATTGCAAAGTGCTATATCCACTTCAAGGTAGTCCCACTCTGTCCACAGGTATACCTCCCAAGGCAAAGTATGTTGGGGAGAGCAAAGGCCAAACAATGCCTCGTATCACAGATTTCTCTGCATGTACTGTGTAGATGTCTGTGGAGAAGGACTCTGACAAATCCTGTGCCAAAATACACTATATTGCCGAAAGTATTGGGACACCTTCCTTTACATGAAGTTTAATGACATTCCAGTCTTATTCCGAAGGGTTCAATATTGAGTTGGTCCACCCTTTGCAGCTATAACAGCTTCAACTCTTCTGGGAAGGCTGTCCACAAGGTTTAGGAGTGTGTCTATAGGACCTATTATTATTATACACAGATTTATATAGCGCCAACAGTTTGCTCAGCACTTTACAATATAACGGGAGACAATACAGCAACAATACAGTTCAATACAAGAGGGATAGGAGGACCCTGCTCCTTGGAGCTTACAATCTAGGAATGTTTGACCATTCTTCCAGAAGTGAATTTGTGAGGGTAGGCACTGATGTCGGAGAAAGGCCTGGCTCGCAATCTCAGCTCTAATTCATCCCAAAGGTGTTATATCGGGTTGAGGTCAGGAATCTGTGCAGGCCAATCAACTTCCTCCACTCCAAACTCGCTCATTCATGTCTTTATGGACCTTACTTTATGCACTGGTGCGCAAGTCATTTTGGAACAGGAAGGTGCCATCCCCAAACTGTTCCCACGAAGTTGGGAGCATGAAATTGTCCAAAATGTCTTGGTATGCTGATGCCTTAAGAGTTCCCTTCAATGGAACTAAGGGGCAAAGCCCAACCCCTGAAAAACAACCCCATACCATAATCCCCCCTCCAGCAAACTTTAAACTTCGCACAATGCAGTCAGGCAAGTATTGTTCTCCTGGCAACGGCCAAACCCAGACAAGTCCATCGGATTGCCAGACAGAGAAGCGTGATCCTTCACTCTGGAGAACACGTCTCTAGAGTCCAGTGGCGGCGTGCTTACACCACTGCATCCGACGCTTTGCATTGCACTTTGTGATGTAAGGCTTGTATGCAGCTGCCCGGTCATGGAAACCCATTCCATGGAACTCTCTACGAACTGCTGTGCTAATCTGAAAGCCACATGAAGTTTGGAGGTCTTTAGCTTTTGACTCTGCAGACAGTTGGTGACTTCTGTGTACTGTGCACTTCAGCATGTGCTACCACTTCGTGGCTGAGTTGCTGCTGTTCCCAGTTGCTTCCACTTTGTTATAATACCATTAACAATTGACCGTGGAATATTTAGTAACAAGGAAATTTCACAGATGGACTTATTGCTCAGGTGGCAACCTATCACAGTACCACGCTTGAATTCACTGAGCTCCTGAGAGTGACCCATTCTTTCACAAATGTTTGTAGAAGCAGTCTGCATGCCTAGGTGCTTGATTTTATATACCTGTGGCCATGGAGGTCATTGGAATACCTGAATCCAATGATTTGAAAGGGTGTTCTAATACTTTTGTATGCTTAGTTCGTGTGTACACCCAGGGTTAAACTAAACAAGCTGTAATACTGTATACTATTCTAGATGATCAGAGAAACAAGACTCTTGCAAGATCAAAGCATTTTGACCTATTAAACATAACAGGAGATGCCTTACAATACACCCTGGGTACCTGTGCTGGCATCACAGAAGTTTCAGGAAGGAAAACCACTGGTCTTGTAGTAGCTCCCCTTAACGGCAGTGTAGAAATACCATTGCCTCCTCTCATTGACTGCAACCAGATTGCAACTAACAGAGAGGAGATCCCTACTCCCGCAGCTGCTTCTCACCACTCTCACTTGAGAGGCATAGCTGACCACATGCCAGCTCTTGATAGAAATGCTGATATTCTTCTGCTTCTTGGCAGAGTCAGCCCAAAGGTACAAAAGGCTCGCCAACAAATCAACAGGCTACATGATGCACCATATGCCCAACATCTTGACCTAGGCTGGGTCATCATAGGCAACATCTGTCTAGGTAATGTCAAGAGGCATTCCAAGGTTTCTTCTTCCTAGACATGTGTCCTGCCAAATGGGCACATTATCGGTTTTGAAAAGTGCCCACATCACCAACATGTCAAAGAAAGACTTTGCAGTATAAGCATGCAACAGTTCTTCACACGGTAATAACAGGGCCCTTCAATTCTGGGATGATAATGTCAGCACTACAGTGTTAAGTATAACAGTTAAGAAAATGACCTGGCAGCCGCCATGGAAGACAAGGAGTTCCTAAAAACTATGAGTAGGGAGAATTCTATCAGGACAATTTCAACAGCTGGGTAGCACCACTACCATTTTGTGCCTCAAGAAGGAAACTAACAAATAATGTTCAGCATTCAGAAGCACAGTTTACTTCTTAACAATACACCCTGAATATAAAACCTGAGATCAAAAAACACTTTGTTATTATTATACAGGATTTATATAATGCCAACAGTTTGTGTAGCGCTTTACAATATAAAGGGAGACAGTAAAAATACAATACATTTCAGTACAGAAGGAATTGGAGGGCCCTGCTCACGGAGCTTACAATCTAAAGGAAGGGGGGAGGTGGTACGAAAGGTGATAGCTGCAGGGAATAATCTGATGGAGGTGGCTCAAGTACAGTTCTTAGGTGGAGGTGGGGTAGGCTTCCCTGAATAAATGAGTTTTCAGAGTTTATGCAAAAGGTGTTTGCGAGATATCATGTGGAGCCTGCACCAACCCTTATGGAAGGAGAGGAATATTGGTTCCACTTATGCTTTGTTTTCTAAATGTAAAGGTGTTTCCCTCAACGATGTCCTTCTCACCGGGCTTAATCCAAACAACAACTTTATAGCTTTGCTCTGCTTCAAACAAGAACCTGTTGCTGTTAACAACTGGCTAACATTCAGCAAAAGTTCCACTGTTTCATCATTGTGACAAGCCCTTCATGAAACAAGGAGTCCTGTCTGTTGTGAAAAGCATTTGTGATCCTCTGGGTTTCATAGCACCCTTTATTGTTCAGGGTGAGATATTTCTAATACAGCTTACTTCTGAAAACACATATTGGGAAACCCCTTTGCCCAAAGAAAATCAACAATGATGGAAGTCATGGAAAGAGTCCCTGTAAGAACTTCAGACACAATGAGCGTACATTCCTAACGAATGCCACCAGAAGAGAGGTCCATGTTTTCGCCAAGGCTTCCATTGAAGCAACAGCTATAATAACCTACCTCAAAGTTCTCAATCCAAGTGACAAAGTAAGTGTGGGTTTTGTCCTTGATAAGGCCAAGCTGACCCAAAAACTAGCAAATACCATTACAAGGCTGCGCAGCCATGTTAACTATTGACATTGCTGAGCCTATAAAACGTGAAAAAGATTTTGAAATAGACTATATTCACTTATACACAGACAGCAAGATAGTGTTGTGATACATTCACAACCAAACAAAACACTTCTATATGTATGCCAGTAACAGAGTGGAACATTCTCCGGATTAATGGCACTATGTGCCTAGGGACCTCAATCCCTTTGAAGGTCTTGATTCAAAGGGAGGTAAGGGGAATGGTGTACGTTGCTGCTTTGCCTCTGAAGGACTTTATTAAAAATAGGTAGTGATGACTGGTTCATGTTGCTGCTTCCCTCTGAAGAACTTCATAATAAGGGTAAGTTAAGCTATTTCACCAAAACTGGTTCAGTTATGGAGATCACACTTTTAGTGCTTAGATTGCGGAAGCAGGGACTCTGATACTGTAACAGAAAGTAAGATATTTTGCCAACAGAAATAAAAAACATGTGCTGTAAGTTGCAGCCAAGCTGTTCCCTCTCAAGCACTGACATCAACCTCGTTGCAGTCTGTATCCCTCAGATTTTAGGCCCCAAATGATAGGGACATAGTTGTCAGGACAGAAAGATAGTGAAATCTTTCACATAACGACCACGCAAGTGAACAAGATGATAGAGATTCTAACCTATGCGTGCTCAACCTGTGGTCCTCATACATGTCCCATCATGCCTTTGCTCGCAACGTCATGCTTGCAACTGTCAGTGGCTTGCAATTCCTTATGGGACTTCCACAACAGCTGGTGGTCGACAGGCTGAGCTTCCACGTCTCCCACCTCTAGCTACTATTTAAAAATAGAAATTAGTTTGAGTTAAAGTATGGCTTACGAAAGCAGGGGACTTGAAATTTTCCACTCGCCTGCTCGCCAAGGCGAGGTCCAGTGGAATTAATTTCCCACTCGCTACTGCTCGCCATGGTGGGGGCGAGTACCAATTTATTTTCATGTCCCCCAGGGCCATTCTTGCTGAGCAGGCTCGGAGCTCAGGCCAGATCTGTCATTGGCACTGGGAGCTGTAAGACTGCTCAATCTCCTAGATTGTAAGCTCGAAGGAGCAGGGCCCTCGAACCCCTCGTGTATCACGACATTGTATTGTTATTGTACTGTCGCATGTTCTGTCCCCATTTGTAATGTACAGGGCTGAGCGAACTGTTTGGCGCTTAATAAATACTGTATAATAATTGATATAGCTGAGCGCAGTGAAAGCAAAGCAAGAGAGCGTGTGCACTGTGCTTTCTGCCTCCCCCTAAAGACCCCGGATCTTGAGTGAACAACTCAGGAATGCAACTTTTCATTGTTTTGAATCACATCATAGCGCTGCACTATATGTACACTGTTGTGTGTCCGTTTTCCTTGAAGTGTTTGTGCTGATTTCCCTGATGCTATTTCATAATAAGGGCAGTTAAGCGGTGTCCTGCAAACGGTCAAACACACTTTTAGTCTTAGATTGCGGAAGCCTGGACTCTGATACTGTAACCAGAAAGGTTGAGGGGCTCCATTTTGCCAATGAATTAAAAAGGAAACTGACTTTTTTGCAGTTTATCCTCATTTCTCTAATCAGTAAGTTTGTTTTGGGATCAGGAAGCCTGTGAAATTTCGAAGAGATCTGGCAGGGATGAAATTCTCCTATCCGGGGTCCAACCTTTGGAACCTCCATGCCCACATGATTTGCACAGGTGAGTCAGACCTTGCAACTGTCAGTGGCTTGCCATAGTTCTGGGACTCCACAACAGCTTTAGTGGTCGACAGGCTGAGCTTCCACGTCCCCTACCTCTAGCTCAGCCGTGGAGTCAGGTGGGCTACACCTAGGAGAGTTAAAGTAAAGCAAAGCAGGGCTTGAAATTTACAGAATAATGGCTGTGTGCTTATGGTTCGGGCGGTGTGCCCCCAAAGAACCTCTTGAGAGCAGAGTCTCAGGCCAGATCTGTCATTGGCAAAACTGCTGTAAGCCAGGAGCTGAATACTAGATTGTAATTTGCTTGGAGCAGGGCCCTCGAACCCCTCGTGTATCACATTGTATTGTTATTGAATTCTTGTTCTGTCCCCCTTTGTAATTTACAGCGCTGAAAATGTTGGCGCTTAATAAATACTTAAACAGATGCGAGTTGAGCGCAGTGAAAGCAAAGCAAGGAGCGTGTGCTGTGCTCTCTGCCTCCCCCTAGAGTGCAGTACCCGGATCTGTGAGTGAACAACTCAGGACTGCAACTTTTCATTGGGTGTGTGTACACGTGTGTGTTTGTGTGTGTTTGTGTATGCATGTACAACAGCATGTACAACTGTACATGTGTCTGTGTGTATGTACATGTGTGTATCTGTACATGTGTCTGCGTGTATGTACATGTATGTGAGTGTACATGTGTGTGTGCATGTACGTACATGTGTCTCTGTATGTACATGTGGCTGTGTGTATATACATGTGTCTGTGTGTGTATTTCTGTGCATGTACATGTATCTGTGTGTATACGTGCCTGTGAGTGTATACATGTGTCTGTATGTGTGTACACGTGTGTCTGTGTACGTGTGTGTGTGTGTGTGTGTGTGTACAGGTGTCTCTGTTTGTGTGTGTTTGTTGGTGGCGAGTAACTCTAAGGCCTGGCTAGTAGCTCAGGACTTGAAATTTTAAGCCCTGGTTTAAAGTATAACTAAAGACAATTTCTTATTTTTAGTGTTGGATAGAGGGGACTATCAGCTTGTCCTGTTAACCATCATTAGTGAATGTGAAAGAAAATTTGAAATTTGGGTTATCACCAGAACAAGAATTGAGGGGAAATCTACCAAGGGGAACACTAGTTCTGTTGACACTGGTGAGAAACAGGGATTCCCTCACTTCAAAGGGATTTCCTCTCACTTACAGTTTTGGCTGGGGGACAGGAAGTGAACAGAAATCTCCCCAATGGGACACATATTTGAAAAAAAAACTAACAGGGGTTATAAACCCACACCTAATCTAGAGAAATTGGAAAAAGTTTTGCCTTTAGTTCTATTTAACTTTGAACCTAGAACCTTTGAAGACCTGACATATTATAAACACCACAAATATTTTGCACTTCTGAAGTCTTTCATAACCTTCAAACAAGAACAGCACCT